CTTAAATACATTTACTTCCAAACTTGCCTTCTACTGCTCACTTCATCTTCTCAACAATTGTTGTCGTTCGAACTTGGAACGAAGCCCACACTACCATGGAGAAGTACCATGATTATTGTTTTTGGTGTGGTTATTCGAGGGCTGCTAGCCTCACGCAATGCGTTAAGTACGAATTTATTATCATGTTTTTTACATATTCATGTGTGCAGTAGTTAAGCACTGATCTGACGACCCGAAGGTCACCCACCAGCTCGATGTCATCCAAATCAGGTCGTCCGATACCAAACATAAACACAGATTTACCGCAGGAAGACAACGTGTGCTCCTGCATAAGCTTGATTCTGTTCAGGAGAGAAAATGGTTAGTATTGACATAGATCTAATGCAGCGCGGCTGCCGTAGTGCTTTGGCTTAGAGGAAATTGAGCTAAGGTCACCGACCTTCGTTCAATATCTAGAACGAGTACAAGTGTAGCAGATCACATGTCGCTTATTTCAAGAGTAATTACAACATTAACCTTAGGCGAATAAACTCTCCCGTTCAAAATGTAAACTTTTTATTAGTTTCATCCGCGGCAAAGCCGCCTATATCTAAATCTATAGGTTTCCCTAAATAAATAGGAAAAACTAATGAAAATGACTAACTCTCGCCACGTAGTGGCTTCTTGTCAAGGTGTAGCCGCACCATTATGTGATAACATTGTCTTGTGTAACCCAAACCCTTGTATGATCACACCATTGTGTGTGACCCACCCCTTCATACGAGGGTGCGAGTACCCCCTTACACCTAATGCTGGACTTCGCGATGACGACTCGCACAAAAAAAATTAGAAGAAACACCCCGGCGTAATGAAGCAAGATATTTTGTCTCAGGGTCGAGTTGTAAACGGTATGAGAGATAATTCAAAGCAGCTTATAAGTGTCCAGATATCTTGGTACTTGTGTAACGCGTAAGCTTTGTTATCATGTGAGCACATTTACTTACCCGTTTAGTACGATTGTAATATTACCATGTGTCGCATTATACGAAATTCACATTACACTTTGGTATGTATTTTCATAAGTCCCAAATTATCGGGATTTATGAAGATGCTGGAGCTCCAAATTGGAGGGGTCCGGAACTCAGATGGGTTCTAGCCGCACATCGCAAAATAACCACTGTTATATGACATGAGGTATTGTAATACCTTCATAGAAAAATTAGTCCAAATAGCATAAGTAGTAAACATGTGTGGATTAGAGATAGCAGAGTTGACGAGAATCCTTGTGTCGGCCAAGGCTCCAGGTTCCGCTTCTGGTAGAAGTACACGATCCCAACTTCTGTGCAACTCTAAGAGCTCAGATGCACTAACACGGACTGTACGATTCGAAGCCTCCTCTGCACAAATGCACGGCAAACCCGTTGCATCTCTTCACTGCCTACGACAGAACTGAAACGATAATCTCTAAGGAACGTTTGCTAGAAATTCAAGACGGAAAGAATCGGAATGTTGCGGTTGGTTCCGGAAGAGGACCTGTGCTCATCATTCGTCATGAGGAAACGTGTCCGTCATCTGGTCACTCGCAGATAACTGAATGCGGGCAGTATGACAGCTATCATTATATATCTTGCGTATCCTTATAATTTATACTAAAGGAGTATCAGTGCGGAATTACAAGCGAATCGCCATGTGTATTGCCCCTTAGGGCAGTTGGTACGTCATAAAGGTTACCTGGCTGTCGGAGTCAAATATTGCACTACACGTCGATGGTCCGTAACAAGAGAGTATTTTGAGTCATGGACAAACTCCTTGTGCAAAGTACGGATAGGGTTTGGTTAGATGGAGTACATCCTACCGCTTGGTACCAACATTCTGTGTCAAATGCTAACAGCTCTAGACGGATTAAGCAATGTCATAACCAGCTATGTGCTGCATCGCAGCATGGTCGGTTGCATTGTGTTTAGAGCCCTTAAGCTAGGTGATGGGTATGATCGACTGCTCATTTAAGACTGTAAAATTC